ATCAATGAAATAATTTTGCAGACTTTTGGTATTTAAATGTAATCCAGTCACAGCAGCTTTTTTTAATTGTTACTCAAACTGCGTGTTTCGCCGCTCATAGTTGACAAGAGTGTGGTAATATAAATTATATCATGGGTATGACCATTTAAAATTATTCTACTGAATTTTTTTATATGGTTGGTTATCGTTTACGTTTAACTGTAGCGGGCAACGAAAATACTTGGGAATTAGGCTGTTAAAAAGCAAATAAAAATTCAGAATTACGTAAGTTAACCGATAAACTTTTTTTAGGGTTCTGAGGTATCCTGATAATGTTGTTGAACTTGTAGATTAGCTGGAAATAAAGTGGGGTCAACTGTTTGCCGACGTGCCAATGCTTTAGTGGTCACCATGCGTTCTAGATGAATACTTTTTCGGTTATTTATGATGATAGGGAAGAAAGATTGGGTTTTTTCCCTTTTTTTGTAGGCTGCATAGTTCTTTTCGTGCAAGAACGGTGCGATAGCTTGAGGCAATTGAATAACACGAAATTTGAAAGGTAAGAGTAATTTTTTGTTCAAGCTGACTGGTACATTTAAGTAGGGATTATGTTCATCTGGAAGAAGTTTGTGAGCACAGATAGAATGGGTACACAGATGACGTGAGGTTGATTATGATTATGAGTCGGCGAAGCATGAAAGGTATGGTTAATTTTGTAACGATGCTGAGACGAAGAAAAAGTCAGTTGGCTGTAGCTTTCAAAAGTTCTAGTTCTCACCAGAAATGTTACAGGCATTGTTTGACACAAATCGATTTTATAAGCAGCTGGGATAGAAAGAAAAAATGATTTTTTAGATGACTACGCTTTTGAATGATGCAACCACGATCACACATGTAAAAGTGAGGCTTATTAAATTACTGTGGTGCCACTGAATTCTTGATTGCTGCCTTCAGCTGTACGTGCTTTCTTAATTGCCAGGCTGCGTAGTCAAGAAACTTTTTGGAGCTCATCAGGTCTGTATAACATTTTTCAAAAAATTTTGGAGAGGTATTTTTTGGCTTTATGTTAAGTTCTAGTACTTCTTGCTAATATGAATATCGTAAATACTTTTAATAAGATAGGATTCTCAGATCTGCTTAGTACTTAGCAATCAATAAGCGAAAGTAAGATTTCTTAACGGGCACTTATGGTGTCTGAGAAAAATTTTATGGTAGTGAAGCATTTTTCTCCACAGACTTATGAAGTGTTTAAACGTGATTTGTTAATTTGCAGTTACCGTTAATCTTTCTCATTTTTTTTTTCTCTACTGTTTCGTTTTGGTTGTTTCAGGAAGGCTTGACAGTTGTGAAACGGAGTTGTAATTTGGAGAATTGGTTTTACATTCTCGTTGTTTTTCCTAATGTTGCAACGATTTTCTTTTTATTTGGAGCTTGTTTTAGTTAGTTGGGATGGTAATTTTTAAGCCTGTTTATCTTTTACTTTATTTCCTATTTTTTTCTTTTGTTTGGTAAGTGGTTTGGTCTGTGTAACTTGTACAGTAGTTAAGGCATTCTTATTGTAATTCTAGGTTGCAGTAGTTTTTTTTGCTTGTGAGCAGAGAGGTGATAGAAGCTGTTCATTATTATTTGTTGCTGCAGTTAAAATGAAGCATTTAATAATATGGCGATGTAGGGGGAGTTGTCGTTCTTTTTTTTGTTGTTAATATTATTATTATTGTTATCATTACTACTGTTGTTGTTGCTGTTAATGAGGGAGGTTTTTTGAGATAAGGATGGTCGTTTCGTTACATTAAAGGATGATTCTGGTTTACGTAAATCTCTACCTTGGTGGTTTCGTTACAGTTGTTTAAATGGCTGCTTTAGGATGTGTGCGTGTAAGTGAGTACGTTCCTGTATGTATTGGGATCACTGTACTGTGTTGTTTAAGTTAATCAGGGTTTTGCCGCTTTGCAGTTTGGGCATTGACGCTGTACCATATGCAGCAGCTATGATGACACTGCTGTTAATATTTTTGCATTTGTGCTAATTGACAGTTCCTTTTTAGTTTACGGGCGTCAGAGGGTGTGTTCGACTAGTGAAAGAGGGGGTTTCTTTTGTGCTTCTTTTTATCTATCTATATATATAAGGAAAAAGTGTATATT